CCTTCATCGCCTGAGGTACACATCCAAGATGTCCAGGCCCGTTTTGAAGTGATGCACCGTTCTGCATGAAAGCGAATGAACTTGGCGACGGAGAAAGTGAAGACCAGATACAACGCGAGAGCTACTGGACATAGATTCAACAAAGGGGACAAGGTGTGGTTGTGGAATCTGACTTGATGGAAAGGACTCTGTCCGAAATTACAGTCATTTTGGGATGGTCCGTACACAGTCCTAAACAGGCTGAATGACGTCGTGGTTCGGATCCGTAAGTCTTCGAACTCTAAACCTAAAGTCGTTCATTACGACAGGCTAACTCATTACTATGGCCATAGTATGTAGTGTAAATAGTGTAAGACCATGGTCCTTTTTGTTTCTAAATGTGTATTTAGTATTTGATAGCATTTGATTTGTTTTATTTATTGTTCATGTTGTTTATTATTGTAATGTAATGCTTATTATTGCACTTATGCCTTGGTTGTAAGTTTAGCTTCCTGTCCAGGGATTGTACTGCCCGGGATGTGCAGTCCTTGGGAAGGGAGCAGTGTTACGAATTTGGCATTTAAATAATTAACGTTAGTTGAATTGTAAATTAAATATTTTTATTTCCCTCACAGTGCAGCGCGTGACGAATATTAAAAGAAGGCTAAGCCGGAAAATTGAAAATACAAGAGCGCGGCGTGCATGTAACATTTAATAAATATCTCTTTTTGATTTCGAGAAAGTACTAGAAAATTTTCGCATGCGATTTTAAGATCTTATAAAAGGAGGAAAACCTCTCAGTTCGTAGTAGTGACTTAATTTGTTGTTGTTTAGAAAACTGCTCCTGTTGACTGTAGCGGATTAGCTTTCTTTAGCTGCTTTGAATTAAGTGATCTTGAACGTTTGAGTAGTTAAAAGATAACTACTGCGAGATATTGTAATACTGCACGAATATCTGAGGATATTTAAGCATTTTTGTTGTGATAATAATAAATTTTGTTGATTTTTTCATCGGACTTGTTCATTCATTTCGTAACGAACCCGTACACACGCAACAATATGCTCAACAACGACAATTTTAGAAGTCAAACAACAAAAATCACCGCTATATTTAAAAATTTTCCAGGGCTAGTTTCAATGATTTGACTACTGATCTTCAGCTGCCAAAGTGCAAATGAATGAGATAAGATTGGGTAATAAAGGTAAGATAACTCAAAGATGCCGCCTAACCGGTATAGTAGTTAGTGTTGCTGACTGCTGTGCCGAAGGGCCCGGGTTTGAATCTCGGAGAAGGCATGGATGTTTGTAAATGTATAGTGTCGGTACTCTAAATATGCAGCGAGCCAAAAGTCCTCTCATGTGGTTTGGTGGAAAAGGTGCAAATTATTTGCACTTTGGCAGCTGAGGAAGATTGTTCAGTAGTCAATCCATCAAAACTAGTCATGGAAAATTTGCAAATATAATGCTGATTTTTGTTGTTTGACTTCTAAAAAAACAATTATTTAATAAATTGAATTTCAAACTCAGGATAAGTAAAAATTTACCCAGCTAAGTCATTATTAGTTTTAAACATGTGTAAAAGTTTTAACAGTGTAGAGAAAAAGGGTTTCATGGTAATTTAAACTTATTTTTATAAACAAAATGTATATGTACAAAGTACAAAATTTGGACATCTAATATCTGGAATGTTCTAATGTCCGAATCTCTAGACCACCAGCAAAACCATATTTTCCTTACAAAATCTAGGAATGGGGAATACCCTAATTCAAAAAAGAAAAGTGTGCCATAAAAATGATTTTCTCTAGAGAATCACAGTGGGGGCAATGACAATATATCAGTTGATGCGAGTCACGTACACCCTTTGTGGGTCCAGCATTTTAGTCTGACCTAAACAATAACACCACAGCCAGTGCAGCCACATTGAGCAGCAAAATGCTTTGAATTTAGTGAAGAACCGAGTGGAAAATTTAGGGGTGGCAAAATTTTTAGAACTTAAGGATCTGCCAGGCAGCAGAATGCCCTAAGACATATTTATTTAGAGTAGGATTTTTTTTCATACTGGTTTCATTTTTTAGAATAACAGCAGGGAGTGGGAAGAATTAGATTCCGAGGAACAGTTAATAAAGAAATTTACTCCTTTAACTTTTTGATTTTGTTCCATCTATTATTATTATTCAAAATTGCAGTTTTAGTAAATGGTAACATGTGTATTTAGTCTTTCCCTGAAATTGTACATCCATCAACCAGCCAGTGGGTATTAAAATTTTACCCACAATGAAGTAAAATAGTTTTTTTAAAAAGTGATGCAACAGTAAGACTATCCAAGAATTCCAGAAATATTTTAATATAAAATCTGATGTCTGAGACATTGCAAGATCATAAGAGAATGTGTGTGCATTTTATAAATGCTTATCATAATAACATATAGCAAACTACCAAACTTCATCATGATGAGAATGAAAGCTACGAATTTGAAAGTTTGGGGATAGCACAAGAGCGAAATTTTCTAAATGCTAAGTGAAGATAGCATAACTGAAATCTTATACTATGATGATGTTGCTTCAATCATCAGTCAATTAACTGAACAGCAAATATTTATAGTGCGGTTTGAAATCCCGGAAGTATTGCTATTTCAGCTTTGAGCCACATGGAGTGGTGATTCAGAAAAACTCTTTGTTTATACAAAATTCTTTTTTCTTAGAAAAATATTATTAAAGAATAGTATTAACTGAAGTCCTGACGATTCCATATATCAGACTTTGTATTGTATTAAAATGTACAAATATGCAGAAATAAAAAATGAAAAAAAATGATCTTCATTAATTTTTCATCTGTTTATTTTAACGTTATGAACATTGAGTTGCATCCATTGACTGGTAATTCCCATTCTTATAACTTAGATGTAAGATTTTATTAATTCTTTAAATAAAAGTGCTTAAATGCTTGTGAATTTTGAAAAATAGATTTGGTGAAATTACTGTTGTGTCATAGATAATATACAAAAATATTCCTTTCAAATTTTTGTTACCACCCCAGTATAAAAAGAATTTTTTCAACTATCATTTCAGACTGTTGGAATAACAGAATACACTGGTGTGCAAAAATCAAAGACGAGACGGTTTTTTCAATATAACTTTGTACAAAACAAACTTTGTTACAAAAGCTTTTGTAACTTTGTACAAAAGCTTTTCAAATCAACACATTTAATACTGTAAGATCCCCAATACGTAAGGACATGAGTAATGTAAGCAACACTTACTAAAAGAGAAATCAGAGGGATAAAAGCTGTATTGAAAAAGTAGCATGAAGCGCAATGCGACTGAAGGCGGAAACATCCCTGTGATGGGTGTCCAGCAAGAAACATCCGGTCTTTAATAGGGGATATGATCTCCCCTGACTGCTAGGCAGGTTTCACAGCGTCTGCCCATGCTGAGAATGAGGGTGTCATTGAGTTGTTGAGGCATTGCTGCCCATTCGTCTTGCAGCGCCAATCGAAGCTCCGGAATCGTTACTGGTGGTAAGGTACGAGCTGCCAAGCGTCTGCCTAGAAAATCCCATACATGCTCGATGGGATTGAAATCCGGAGATCGTGCCGGCCAATCCATACGTTCAATATCCTCACTCTCTAAGAGCTGTTCGACAGCTACTGTGCGATGACATGGTGCATTGTCGTCCATGAAAAGGAACTGCGGACCCATAGCGCCTCTAAAAAGACGCACATATGGAAGAAGAATCTCGTTACAATAACGGGTCCCGTTGACTGAACCTGCGTCGAAGATGTGAAGGTCTGTACGACTACCAAGCATGATGCCTCCCCAAACGAGAACACCGCCACCTCCATACCTGTGTCCCTTTCAATGATGTTCGAGGGATGATTGCGGCTTCCCCGCTCTCTTCAGATGAGTATGCGATGAGAATCGCTACTCAGACTGAATCTGCTCTCATCTGTAAAGAGTACTCGTCCCCATTCATTGTGTCTCCAATTCCAGTGTTCCCGGCCCCACAGAGAACGCCTTCTCCGATGGGCAGGCGTTAGAGGTACACACCGTACAGGGCGTCGTGCAAACAGACCACCACCGTGCAGTCTTCTGGCCACGGTAAAACGCGATATCGGTCGTCCAGTTGCCGCCTGTGTCGTGTGTCTAGCGATTTCTCCCGCTGTCTGCCGCCTGTTTCTTATGGCCTGTAAGGCAATATACCGGTCATCTGCGGGTGTGGTTCCTCGTGGACGACCACTACTAAACCCCCGGATAGCTGTTCCTGTAGTTTGAAATTGTCTCCAAAATCCTGAAACGATGCTGTGAGCAATTCCGAACTCTGCAGCCACACTTGTCACACTGCGGCCTTCCTCCAACTTCCCAATGATTCGACCTCGGGTAAAAGCATCCAGATGTCGTCTAACAGATGGATTATTCGCCATTTCTTGCTGAGGCAGCAACTCGGTGTGATTTTAACTGCTATACGGCGTGCGATCTCTTTGCCAGAAATACTGATCTGCACGGACAACATGCTTTATACTACTCAGACACTCCCCCATTACGTCTACCTGCATATCTGCGCATGTGCTACCGTACATCACCTTACTTAATCTCCTGATTGGTCTTTCTGTCTGCTCTGCCTCTTCATTCAGCTGATATGCTAATTTTTCGACTTCGTCCTTAATTTTTGCACACCAGTGTATAATGCGTGTTTTATACATAGAAAATACCTCTATATATCACTGAAAAGTTAAGTGATTTATGATATTTATATGACTGGAATTTAAATGTGAATTATTTAGAACTGTCAAGCATTGCATTGTTAGCATAAAACCCAATAATTTGTCATAAGTTACTAGCATGTTTGTGAAAGTAACTGTAAACATTTCAATTTCACAACATTTTTAAAACCTGTCTTTAAAAGTTTTTAAATGTGAATTAAAAATAATATTTTAGAATTAAACATTGTAATCCCTTCTGCCACCAAGAGGAGAAATAAATTTAAAGAAAGTAAAAATAACATTAAAAGGTTTTATAACATACCTTTTGTAAGTCTGCCCTGCAGCCTTTGATTTTCTTTTTTCAGGAATTGTATTGTAGCATCTTGTCTCCTTAGCTGCAATAAAGCATATGAGAAATTATTTTAGTGTGAAACTGTATTTGGATGTTATTTTGATATTAAGAATTTAGTTACAACTTAATATATTAAAGTTATGATAAAAGTTTAATTATGCCCTTGCCAGTCAGATAAAATAAATTTTCTAATGTACAGAATTGAGGAGAAGTTAAAAATTATCTACAACACTTTACTTTTATAAGTAACATTGTTATCTTTTTAGAGATTACAGATAATAATTTCAATTCTATTTAAAGATGTTATAGTCGAAAGGTCAAATAATGTACTAGGATACATTTTATTTAATACAAAATTTCATAAAAAGAAACTGTGTTAAGAATAAGATAAAAGGCAATATTACAGTTATTTTGTGTAGTGAAACAAAAGAGGGTGTTAGTCTAGTTTCCATGAAAAAACAATAGAAAGAAGAAAGAGGCTATAAAAAATTTTGAGTATGTCAAAAGATGAATTTCATTTTTTATAAATATTGTAAAAATTGTTTACATAAAAAACATTTTTCTTGATAAAATTAGCAAATAGAATACCTTGCTGAAAATAAGTGCTGTATTATAATATGTAATGTGGTTATCCTTGCAGCAGTGTAGGGATGTTCCTCAGTGATTGTGATATTTTCAATCATCTCAGTACTGATAGGCCCCAGTGTGTTTACTCATAATCAAATAATCTAACAAAGAGTAAAGAGCATTTTCCTCTTTAAACAATTACACTTATCCATTCTCATTATTAGTTGGTATATTAGTAACACCTCCCTGGTATATTGGATTGAGACAAAGCTGGGCAATCCAAGTGCTCAATAGTCTTTTTTGAAAATGGTTTTCCTCTATATAAGTTCAATTGAAGTTGAGCATTCCAGGGTGTCATTTCTGTAATTTGGATCACACAGAAATTGGTGCATTTCCTGAATCAAACACCATCCTAAGTGCACATGAAACATCTACTGAAGGGTGTCTGATAGATGTTGCTGGAATGGTGGCAAATACTTCATTATCTCCATATTGATCACTACCCAAATTTGTTATTCAGACATCTTGGGTTTGTAATTAAAAGATAAAGATATATTTCTTATCATACTAGTTCATATGCTTGCATGCTGTTCAGCTGCTGTCTGTGCTAGGCCTCCTGTTTAAAATTGAAAACAGTGGAAATGGAAGTTCAGCAGAAAGGGTAAACTAAAATAAATGGCTAAAATGATATAACCAATCACAGGAAATTAAAAATAATATAATAATAATAATAATAATAATAATAAAAGAAATACAAATTAATAATAAATAAATAAATAAATATATAGTAAAAAAACCCACTAAGTTAACAAATGAAAGGGGAGATAATTACAGTAAAAATGTTTTTAGTCTATAAGAGTTTCTGCTGCTAAAATTTTAGGAATTCAAAGAGATCATCAATATATTTCCTTCAAAAGTATTAAATTACAAGGTATAATAATTACAAGGTATAATAATTCATGGTTTAATATTTGTTTGCAAAAATTGACAAAAATTCTAAACTTATTTAAAACATCTCTCCATAATGCAAAAATACTTTACAGTATTCATACTAATTTTTTTCTCATACACTACTATTTTTAGAAATTTATTCTAATTTCTTTTCATAGTCTTGTTAATATTTGTTTCTGTTACTTGAAACTGTGATGAGTAGAAAGCAATTTATGATAATATGAATGGCGACGGGTATTAATGATCTTTTGTCGTACTAAATTGCTTTTCATGCATTCTTCAGCATCTTTTGGTTTAGTCTTTATACAGAATTGAATTACCTTTTCATCAATAATAATTTTTTATGCAGTGCTGGGTAAATGTTTATGTAATTTTCTTTTCCTATCATGAATTTTCATTAATTTAGTGAAACATAGCTCATAAAACTGATCTCTGCATATGAAATAGTCAAAAATGAGTTGATTACAGAGATAATAGTAAAAATTTTTCAAATGACGCTCATAAAAATAAGTTGATTACAGAGAATATAAGTGTGTAAATGGACTTTTTATTCTTCACACTGTGATAAAATTGCTTCTTTATTGCTACTTCTAATATTGTTTAAGACAGTTGGCAGTATTAAGTTTGATGCATTTTAATTTTCATAACGTAACAGTTTTTTTGGCTCAATATTTGGTCACTTATAAAGGAAATAAAAATATTCTTTAGAAGATACTAACTTCTGTTTTAGGTGACAAATCAAAATAATGCATTCAGAAAGATCAGTCTACTGCAGTCTTTTATGGGTTATAGATATAAGTATATATGCATATTTCAAAGTTGTGATGATGATGATAACAAATTACATATAAGTTTATTTCAAAACAAAGTGTAGATTAGAAAAGAAAACAAAAATACCAAGTTATGGAGTCTAAGTACTTCCTGCTGCAGTCTTGTTAGGCATGTGACTTGCGTTTGGTATGCTTCTAAGCTCTTCTGTCTCCTGATTATAAATATTATATCATATTAATATTTTATATCAATTTAGACCAAAATAATTGATATAATAATAAAAAATATAAATTACCAAACATTATTTGAAATCCTTTATTTTCTCTGTTCTCATGAATCATTAAAGCATTGTATAAATGACAGATATTATTGGTCTTTTTTCATTAATAGATTAATTGTAAATTTCATTCATAAATATGAAATCTTTTTCAGTTTCTGTACGACTACCCAGTGTATGTTTTTCATTTCTCCTGTTTGGTCCAAGGAGTGGAATATGGTTTTAGAGTAGACAATTTTAATATTCTCTTTTTATAAGTTATTCCAGGATAACAATGACTATCCACAAAAATATGTGCTATATAAGTTAGATGGTATACTATATTTTATACTAGAACACGTTTATTCCCACCTCCATCAATGCTATTCGAATGTTCAAAAGTATTGCCATCTTTTTTTCAAAATTAAACTTTATATGACTACCTTCACCAGTTTTATGATGACTGTTTATCAAATTGTAAACATATTTCTTTTCAAGATTTGCAAACTTTTCATGACATCTTTACGCATCAGTTCATAATGATAATTATGTTTCCCCAGTGATGAAAAATTCAAAAAATTTTCACATGTTTGAATATACAAATTTGAAACTACTTAACACCTGGCATACCATATTGCAGAAAATACACTCATGCCCATAAATTAAGGATAATTCGGAGTCGCGCGGAAATCGAACTCTAAAATAAATATATCACCTGTAAAATCACTACACACATCTTCAAGAATCATATGCAAATTTAGGAAGTAACCAGATGACACCGATGGTACGTCACAATGACGAGAGTGATATATAAGGAATACAGGCAAAGAAGTAAAATTGTTCGCAGGCACTTTATAAGCATTTCAGTGCAATAACCGGATAGTTATGACACAAAGGATGCATTTGGATGATTTTTTACGTGGTAGAATTATCAGCCATCTGGAATGTGGGCGTACCAAACTGGAAGTATCAGACAAACTTGGAATTGCCCAGAGTGTCATCTCCAGGCTTTGGCAACGATTCCAAGATGATGGTAATGTGAGTAGACGTTACAACACAGGTCGCCCCAGAGTTACAACGCCGAATGAGGACCGGTATTTGGCAGTAAATGCCAAAAGAAACAGGAGGAGCACAGCCTCAGACCTGTCTCGTCAGGTCTCTTCAGCCACTGGTACGACAATTTCAAGGCAGACCGTGTACAGACGCTTAGGACAGATTGGTCTATATGCTCGTAGACCTGCCAGATGCGTTCCACTTACTGCAACTCACTGTTGCCTGCAGTTAGCCTGAGTAGAGAACATGCATTGTGGACACCGCAACAGTGGGCTTGTGTGATGTTTTCCGACGAGTCCAGGTTTAGCTTGCTATTCTCGCCGGACTTTCATATGGAGAGCTCCAGGTACCCGTTACCACCAAGAAAACATCATTGAAGGACACCGTTACGGTGGAGCAGGAGTGCTCGTTTGGGGTGGAATTATTCTGGGTTCCAGAACTGACTTGCATGTTCAAATTGGAACCATGACAAGCCAAATCTATCGGGACGTCATTCTGGAACAACATGTACGTTTGTTTCGGGGCGCCATGGGCGCACAATTTGTGTTTATGGATGACAACGCCCGTCCTCACCGTGCAAACATCGTAAGCGAATGCCTTCAATCGGAGGATATCACCCGTATGGACTGGCCAGCATTCTCACCGGACTTGAATCCAGTAGAGCACGTGTGGGATATGTTTGGCCGACGAGTTGAAGCCCGTCTACCTGAACTTCGGAACTTTATAAAGTACAGGGTGTTTCTAAATGAATATCGGGATTTTAATGCTTTGTAGTATTTATTATCTAATACTTAAAATTATAATTAATACATGAAATGAAAGAGCAACTCAAACAGATATACCTACAAGCTTACAAATGACTACACATACTCTCTCATTCACTCAATACACTCTTCACTAAGCCTTGGTCGTCCCGTACTCTTCCCTTTGCAAGGCAGCTGGTATTTTCAAACTTATGATACCATCTATGGATATTACTATCACATCTGAACTTATGCGTGTACCAACAAACAAAACTGTTTGAGTTGCTTTTTCATTTCATGTATTAATTATGATTATAAGTTTTACATGATAAATACTACAAAGCGTTAAAATCCCGATATTCATTTAGAAATACCCTGTATATTTCTGCTGCCAGATAACTTAGTTCTAATACACTGCTGAAATTGAAACCTTTCATTTTTGGGGTATTCAAGAACAAGTGTTAATCCACTCTAAGAATTCTAATAATTAACAAATGAGAATTCAGCAAATAACTATAAAATAAGACATAATTTTAACTACTTTGCAGTAAATTGTTAAATGATCCTAAATTTAGAAATAATGTTAAACTTTAACACTTGTGTAATTTAGTTTGTCTATCAATTTGCCATATTTTATGTGTAATTCTTATCAAATCATTTATTACCTTGAAGATTTAAATTATATGCGTAATACTGTATAAAATGCACTTTGCTGAGGACTAATCAACAAACTGAAGTAAAGTAATCATATTTTGTATAAATTCATTTGAACCATAAATTATCTTTCTTATGACATTTGTTTATCTTACCATTTTTCTACCTCCTCTTCCATTGCCACCATTGCATCTGCACTGTTCCATTCTTGGGTCCCTGGAAGTGGTGGATAATGACCTGTAAAAAATATTTACCCAATCTATAATCAAATCCTCATAATAAAGTTTTTTCATTTTCCTGTATTTATTGTTATTTTGCTGTATTCAGAGTTTTAAAATTGGAACAATTTTATAAGGTATGTATTATTACATAAAATTGTTATTACACATTTGCCATCATATTTTTTTGTAAAAGTTAATAATATTTTTCAAAAATAAAATCAATTTTTTTCAAAAATAATAAATGTTAGTTCAGTTTTCTTTGGTATTTTTCCTATCTTATTTGATATTAATTCTAATGTATTTTTGTGACTTACATTAGAACTGATATCAAATAATAAAAATTCAGACATTTAAGAGTTAAGCATATACCAACACACACATATTGTTTCCCTTATTGCTTGCCATTTCAGTATATTATTGTTCGAACGCCTGGAAAAAAAATCTTCGAATGAATGGCTTCAAAAATAAAAGCATCACACATGTAGCTTTCAGATTTCTTCACAAAAAAGGGTGCGCATTATACAGCCAACATACACCTAAAAATTAATAAATGCAGTTCAAAATTATAGCTGCGCGTTATACACTGATGCTTCTTATACGCCAGATTATATTTCTAATGCTTTGTGCATTTCTTGTAAATACATTATATTTTCTTAAATAAAAATAGGCCTGATATGTAAAACAGATTAGAACAACTTTAATGTCAAGGTTAGGTCAAGTTATTTAATTTCGGCAAAGCCTCTAGGGCTATCTGCCTAAAGGGAGGGATGCCTTCATGGAGGACTTTCTAAGGGAAACTCGCTCGTATACGTTACAAATGGGGAAAACCACGAAAACACCAATGCAGCCAGCCCGTTCGTGAGATTCGAACCTCAGACCGAACTACCAGTGTTCAGCGACTTTTACCGTTCGGCCGCTGGTGGGCTTTTAATGTCAAGGAGAATTTGTTTCTGGGGCGTTGGCTTCAAATTTGGTGTGGTGTGTGGTGTGGTGTATTTAATTATGGCAAAGCACACTAGGGCTATCTGCCTAAGAGGAGGGATGCCTTTCGTGGAGGACTTTCCAAGGGAAACTGGCTCGTATACACGTTACACATGAGGAAAACCACGGAAACACCCATGCAGCCAGCCCGTTCGCAGGATTCGAACCTCAGATCGAACTACCAGTCTTCAGCGACTTTACCGCTCGGCCGCTGGTGGGCCGCTTCAAATTTGAATTTTCATGGCTTAGTATGTACTTTGCCAGTGTATGATGACCCCAACCTATATAAGTGGAATAGTACCTTAGAGTTGCTTCTAGAAAACAGAGTTTACTGGGGTCATGTGAAGTTTGTTTATAGTTCTTTATATGGCATATGTGACAACAGCTTAGCAGCTGTAATACATCTACATTCGTAAAATTATGTGCAAAGGCAATAAAAGCAGAACTGAACGTTTTATTTCGCTCTCCTCCCCATGGTCTTTTCACAATTTTAGTGACTGCTTTCATAACTCCATTGGCCTACCATGAGAGTTGTAGGAACGACTTTGCTTTTCTATGTGTTTGAACCAGTTTGACTTATATTGTGAAGCGATTGTGATGTTTGGATTCCTTATTTTATGCTATTTATTATAATAAGGTTTTAAAACATTAAATATCTTGTATCTTAGCAAAATTCTGTTATTTTGTGAGAAGAAAGGATTAAACAGTACTTCAAGAAATAATGCTGGTTCTATTCATGGATAATATCTGACACTGTAAAACAGTCTTATGCATTGTAAAGTGATTTGACCAGTGGCGGCTCGTGGCTAAAATTAATGGGGGTGCTGTTCCAAAAAAATTTATCCTTTGTTTTAAAATTGTCTAAAAGGAAATAAACATGTATAAAAAGAAAATTTATTTTGAAACTTCATGAAATCTTACAAGCAAAAAATTAAACATTTCTTAATTACTTTAACCAAAATTGTTACAGTTCAGTCTTTGTCTATTCATTTAAAAATGAAATCCATTCTTCTTGTTTTAATTTGCGCGAACAGATCAATAATTTTCTCCTTGATGTCTGGATGACAACTGAGGAGATATTTCTTTATTGAAATCAATGCAAGCGCATTTAGTCTTTCCAAATTCCTAGTGCTTCTTAGAAAAGTTTTCGTTCTTTTAAATGTTGAAAAGCAGCGTTCTGCCTCTGATGTAGTCGTGGGAACTCTCAAGAGAATTTTTATCTGTTTCATAATTTCACTAAGAATATCATCTAGATTATTTTCGAAGATAAATTTCAGTAGCTCAATGAATTTGTAGTATTCATGGATATCAGACTTACAATAGAATACTTTTAGTTCAGTTTCAAGCTTTTCTTTGTCAATTATTAAATATGCTTTAGTGGTCAGTAGTATTTCTTCTGTAGAATGTTCATTCCTAAAACTAGCAAAGCATTTCTTGTTTAACAATTTAGCAGCTGCAGTTTAACAATTTAGCAGTGTTTAGTGGAAGAATATTTGTGCATTATATCAATACATAGTATAAAGTCACATATTTCCTTAGCTTCTGCCAGCAGTGTCTTTGAAAAATTCTTACAGTACTTTGAGTTTCTTAATTCTAAAATAGCAGTTTTGAAATTTGTTATATATTCGTTAACTTTAAACAATCTGGATTGCATTTAGTTGTATATTATTTCAACATGAGGCATCTGATAGAAAAGCTCTAACCAAAACTTGAAATTATCATCATATAGGTTTTTTTAAAATTCCTGTTGCTTTTGCAATAGTTTGATCTGCATTTGATGTTGATTGAATTTCAGTAAGGCAATTTTTTTAAGGTTGCAAATTTTCATGAACTCTGTTTATGGTCCGTATGACGAAGTTCTGCCTTGTGGAGGAATACCACACGCGCAAAGTAAAAAGAAATCACGTTTCCAACAACATGCCAGAATTCCGGCACTGCAAGAGCGACAGTGCTCTTCTGGCTACCCGGCTCACGTGTTGTTTTCTGTGCGCGCATGCGCAGAACAGCCAAACACCATGTCGCCGGAACTGTGAGCGCGCAGTTCCAAACAAAAAGTTTCGTACTTTTTTCACAAAGTAGGGGATGGTAACTGACATTAAGCTTAAGGATTATGTATTGTTAAAGTATAAAGAAAGAATTAAAGACTAAAGGGCACACTATATTAAATGTTAAAAATAAGAATAAGTGGAAATAGAGGTGCTGCAGTTCCACATTGCTTATTACGAGCCACCACTGGATTTGACTGAAAGCAAATATTTATATTTTAAGCAGATAAAATTCTGTTTCTGGGCAAAAAGTACATGCATTTATTTTATTTATAATTTATGAGTAGCAATATAGTAGACATCAATTTACGGAGGTCTGAGTTGAAGGCTAGATAATAATTACCAATAAATACTATAACGTGTAAAAGGCAATCGGAGATGTGTTTATGATTTTGTAGAGAAACAATACTGCATTCTAAAGCAGCTTTTTATTCAATTTTTGTAGATCATTTAATGAAATCTTATGGAATTTAGTCCAGCAAATTCATCAAATGAAGTATATGTGTCTTTTATTTAAATTTATCTTTATTTCTGGAAAATTATTACAGTCAAAAGTCGTTAATCCGGACTCGTCGGGACTTCGGCGATTCCGGATTATCGATTTTTCCGGATTATAGATCATCAGTTTAAATCTCGTAAGATGCCATGCAGAAATTCTAAAATTAAAAATATGAAACCGTAATTTATGAAATAAAGAACAATAATGATCTAAAGGGTATCAAAATTTACAAAAAGAAAAAGCTTAATATTTATTTGTTTACTTTATTAAACATTTCTTTCAATTTAAGTTGTTTCGTTTCATGAGATAATACTTTCTCTTTAATTCTATTAAACAGACATAATTTCTTGTTTAGTTACAAAATTCCGCTGTTCAAGTCCTATAATTGCTGTGTCGAGAATACCGACTAATTTGTCAATCGAAATTTTTTTTGTTTTCAATAACCTCTGTCACTTTTTTTTTTCGCTATCGGAAGCGAATTATAATGACGAGGAACTTGTTTTAAATCATATCAAAAAGACGGAGCATATCGATATGAAATACTACATTTGGTAAGGAATTATAAGCCAAATAAAATAAAAACATCTGCGCTGAAGATAAGGATAGTGCTGACAAATCAACTTCCAATTCATTAGGCGCCCGCTGCCGAGCAGCGTGAAATTGATAAACAGATTTCGGATTTCAAAACATACTTTACGCTTTAGATCCTTTACATATTAACAAATATATCGGAAATTCTATTTAATATAATCGAAAGTTTAAGCTTACTTTTATAAAATTGCTCTTACAGTCTGCAAAAAATAATAAGCCGGATGCAATTCGAAAATTAAGGAAACAACGCAATCATCAACATTAACTGAAATAGATAATTAGATAATTTTAGCTTATACGTCCATTATACATAAAATGCGCACACGAAAACGTATTCTGCACTTGCGCACATTCATATGCGCAGTCGTAAAAGGTCTTACGCGCACGCGTGAACGCCTCTGCGCATGTGTCAACGTGGCGCATGTGCAGAAAGTTTTTAGTTTTGATGTCCGGATTATAGATCACTCTGAATTATGGGTGTCCGAATTAATGACTTTTGACTGTATTTGTTTAACTATTAAAGAAAGTACATACCATCAAAAGGGGGAAGATAGCACAAGAGTGTACCTTTTGGGCAACCATCAATTTCCAGCTCTCTAGAAGAAACAAACAATTTTAACGTACATATTATGATACTGAAAGTATACATTATAACTGTTCTTAACTAAAAATGAATACATTCAAACGTGATTAATTCAGAAGTGAGAAATTCCTCTTCATTTGCCCAATTATTATAATGTTAAAATTATTTCTCCAATTTAAATTTAAAATCCATATTTTGGAAAATATAGTTCATCCACTACAAAATATCTTTTTCTTGGAATTCTTGTCTCATTTTCAGTTGCTTGTTTTCCCAGTCCATTTGTTACCGAAACAGAGCCAAATATAAACTCTTAAGGTAAATGAGGAAAGAGTACTGCATGGGCTGTCCGGCTAAAATAAGGGAAGCCTTGTAAAGTTTTAGGAGAAACTGGCTTGTACTTGTGTTACACAATGGAAAAACCATGAAAACGCCCATGTAGCCAACCTGTTTGCGGGATTCGAACATGAACCGAACTAACAATTTTCAACGGTTTTATCCACTCGACTATACACGAGAGAATTGTGTTTAAATGTGAATAACTTTTTATAGATAATTAAATGATATAGAAATTGTTAGAAAGGTAAATAATTAAGATATGACTTAATCTGACGAAGGAGAGAAAAATGAAACTAATAACATAACAAAGAAATCCTATACCAACTCAAAAATTCAGAGGCTGTAGATGTGTTAATAAAACACAACTTGTTAAAGTATTGCTGAAACTGATATTTTTTGATTTAAATGAACATGAAGGATAATCGTCAACTCCAAGAGCCGTATAGATAGACAGAAGACTTATCGCATCTTCTAAAATACAGCAACGACAAACCCAGGAGAAGATTTAAAATTAACCTTTTTATTAACATATCAGCCTGAAAATTATGCAAAACTTAATGTATTAATTTATAATGTGTTAAATGTATTAAATTATGCAAAACAATGTAACAGAACACATCTCAGCAGCTTGCGGGATACTTCAAACAAATGCTCGAGTAAAATTAAAATACTAAATATAAAGTAGCATACGTACTCAAAATAAGCTTTTGCTTAAGCCTCAATACTTCCATGAAGGTAGTTATGGATAACAAAGCTAAAAAACATTAAGCAGTTCAGTCTTAAAGAGAAGAATACACATAAATAATGAAGAACAGAATGACCAATCAGTGATAGCTGGCAAAGGATGTCTCACAAACTGAAGAACTCTGAGCTTAAATGCATTAACAAATTTGCATCCTGGTGAGAGTTGATGAAAGTACGAGTGAAAGTAAAATTATAATATAATTGGGCTGATAGTATAAAACCTTGAAGGACACTTAAAAACTGGAGGCATATTTAAGAAAATGGAGGTAAATGAAGATTCAGAATAAAAGAACTTTTAAGCTTATAAAGTATTTCTCCCGCCTTCTTAGTGTAGTGGTCTGCACTCTGGGCGCATATTCCAGAGGTCAGTGGTTCGATTCTCGGCGAGGGCATTGCTCATTTTTCACTTCTTCCTGTTCCAAAAAATACCTGATGTCACTACAAGCTTAAATGTTTTCCTTACACTTTTGTGTAATTCATTAGACTATTTAAGTTTGGGATTTTTTGTGCATTTTTAATTAATTAAATTAATTTTAATTTAAACTAGTTTAAAGTAACATTGTAATTAATATAATGCTACTATGCACCTGGGGAGACTAACTTGGGATTGATAACTTTTTTATATGAATTTTACTAGTATATATATATATACTAAAGAAATATTGATTATATTATCTCCTAAGATCAATTTTAGTAGAATTATCTAAAAAGAGTGAATCCATAGTTAGTAAGTTTAATTCCAAAAATTGGTAACTTTAAAAAGTAACTTAAATGTAAATTGTTAAAAATATTTAATGGGGACTTGAATTAAATCATGAATAAAAAAATTTCAATTGTAAAAAGAAATTAAATTAAAAGCAAGTAATCATTGCCATTGATCGGAAATTAGTTGACTTTTCAAGGGGAACAAACCAACTCCCGTTCAACGAACAATAATTGAGAAATAAATACGAAGGTGTTTCGTCCTTTACTCAAGTAAAAAGGCGATGCCAAACTGGCAATTTAAGTATGATCTCAATAGCATATTTAATACAGTAATAGTTAATAATAATACATAAATACAATATTATATTAAATGCAAAGCTAAACACGTAATTTAAGTATGAATGTAATTAATGCAAGTTTTCAAATGCATTGTAATTTACAAGTGTATTGATAAATGTATTTCAGACTGAGCTAAACAATGCTTCGAAATTAGTTACCTAAATCGGCTATTGAGAATAAGGTCATCCGTGAAGTTGTTTTTGAGGAAGAAATTCAAGGCTGTCGGATCAGCTCTCACCACCAAAGCATCATAAGGTCCAACTTGAGAAGGGCTTTTGATTTTCTGGAAAAAAAAAAAAAAAAAAAAAAAAAAATCAAGTCTTAATGTCTTCATTAGTTTTTTCAGCTATTTCTCTATCACATTGTACCACTTATAAAGTAATAATGGTGGAGAAACATTTATTTTTAAAATAATAAAATAATTTTCATTGTTTGTTCTCATTAATTTTATACAAAAAATACATTCACATATTTTTGAATCAGTTACAGTTTTTTTTAGATTTGTCCAATAGATTCGATTTCAGTGTTCAATTTTAAACGTTTATGTATAAAATTATACTTTTACATTTAAGTAATGTAGTATAAAAATTAATAAAATTCGAAAATTACCGAAAATATTCTACATAAAATTTCATAATATTTCCAACGCATTTTTTTGTGTTAGAAAAGCACAGCAATACATACTGTACGTACAGCTCGTATGCGCAGATATTGGTAGAAGAGTTTAAAGTGCGTATAAAACCGTTATTTAATGGCAAAAAGTGTAATAAAAATTAAAATTTTCTTGCTGAGTTGTTAATAATGACGGAGTTACTCTATTTTGAAAAAGTTGCTTAGTCTAAATTCCTAAGCACTTTTATGCATCTAAAATTCGAAAAGAATTAAAGACCTTAAATTAAATGTCTTTGAAAGGGAAAATATTCAAGAAAATGAAACAGTAGAGGGAAAAAAATTGCATTTATTAGTTCATTAATTTATAAAAAAAAAACTATAAAATGCTGCATATTCTTACACTTTTTTTCACGAAAATTAAACAGATTTGAATTTAGGTACACGTATCATAGAGGCACCTCGTATGACAAGAACGAACGTGTTTTCTATAATGAGCGCCCTCATAAGCTGAGAAATGTTCCACATTAAGAAATGCAAGCGTGATAAAGTTGACCTTTTTTGGAGGAAGGTACTTAACAGAATCTATGAAAGAAAGTCAGAAAAGTATTTATCTCTGTACAGGCCGTGAAACATCCTCTTTGCAGCTAATGCATTTGAAAATCTGAAGTGAAAATCCTTATTAGTTTATCATTCGAAAAATTTCAGAGCTTTCAAGAAGGTAATGCATTTAGTCATTTTATGCTTGGAGTTCAGACCCAAACACTTAAGTCCCTCAGTCTGTTTTAAAGTGCAGACATTTTTAATCTGCATTCTTTATTAAAATTATCACTTAAGGAAGAGACTTAACAATGAAAGCCATGGCTTGGCTTGAAAGGGCTTCTGGTGACATGAAAGGTATGGAGGAAGATCTAGAGTTTAAGTATAGTTTTCTATACAGGGTGTACAGTAAATGTTGCGACAAACTTCTAAGGAAGGTAAGGCACCTCATAAGGATTAAAAATTGCATAGGAATCTATACCCGGAAAATGTCAGGGGTAAGTGGTAGCAAAGGTAGAAGATGGGAAAAGAAACAAGAGTGATTAAGTTGAAACATTTATTGGACATGAATACAAACAGTGTACGACAGCTTGAATGTTACAACAGATGCTCGAAGTTTGCACCATCAGACGCCAAACTTGCCTGACACTGACGGACCATTTGAATGCCGCGAATTATTTGATCTTTCTGGAGCAGGTTCTTCCCGATTTGCTTGACGATGTTCCACCAAATGTGAGGCGCAACATGTGATTCCAACATAATGGGGCCCCTGCTCATTTTGGACTGGGTGTTCGTAGCCATTTGAACAGATCATTTCCGCATCGATGGAGTGGGCGTGGTGGACCAATTCCCTGACCCCCACGCTTACCGGATTTATCTAACCTTGATTTCTTTCTGTGGGAAGCCATCAAAAGTGTCGTGTATCACGATCCTGTTGCGTCTGAAATGGATCTCAGGGCAAGATTCGCCTGCGCAGCTGCTACAATCAAAGAAACTCTCGATGTGTTTTGAACATGTCCGGCAATAAATGGTCCGTTGGTGTCAGGCATGTTTGGCGTCTGATAGTGCAAATTTCGAGCGTCTGTTGTATCATTCAAGCTGTCGTACACCATTTGTATTCATGTCCAATAAATGTTTCAAATTAATCACTCTTGCTTCTTTACCCATCTTCTACCTCTGCTACCACTTACCCTTGACATTTCCGGGCATGGGTTCCTATGCAATTCTTAATCCTTATGATATGCCCTACCTTCCCTAGAAGTTTGTCGCAACATTTACGGTACACCCTGTATATCACTTCTTGCCTCTCAACTCAATGTTTTCACTACAATCGATAGATCACAAGTAATTCCTAACTTCAAAAGGTATACATAAGAGTATTTTTCTGAAACTGGCTTTGAAAGTTGTCAGTTTTCTAACATGGCTGTTAAGAAATTCTGAAAAGATAGAATAATACTATAATGTCGAATGAATTTTACACTGTGAAAGCCACCAGACAAAAAGAATAATCTAGAAAGGAATGGTCTGAATTAATCAAAAGATCTTTAACTTAGCTTGAAGAAGTCTGTGTCCTTTTTTGGTTCATACTGAATCAATAGATGACTACGACCTCGCAGCAGAGCTGCTAGAAAAGCACTAAAATAATTCATTCCTTAGAAACGACAAATCATTAAGCGGAAATAGGAAGAAGCCTAGAGGGAAGTTTGTTTTCACTTAATCATTATACCGGCTGAAGTGGTTCTCTAAAAGCAAAACAATCCATTCATTGCAATTGAAGATGGAATATAAATTTCATTGCTTTCGATGGCAGTTAAAGGATTAGGCACAGAGAATTCGTATGAAGGTGACAACTTTATTATAATTCCAATTACTAACCAGTGAACCAAAACTGTAACAAACATTAATCTTTCAGAAAATGTCCGATTTTGTATCAGAATACCTATGTTAGAACAATGTTATTTATAAATCTAATTTATATCCTAAGTCACGCTTTCGAGACATGAAAAATGAAGTCAATCGGCTCAGTAGAACGGGAGATATAGAACTGTCCTTTTATGTGTGTGTGTGCGTGCAAGGTATACTTAGAATAAATTAAATCTGTATATGTCTCATTTTTAGTTCTCATGTTGATATGCTATAGCTTCGATTAATTCCCCGATTTTGCTTTAGATTTAAATATCTTTTACATCTAATATGCTAGGTGGTAAAATGTCTAATGTATCAGGTCATTTTGTGTCTAATGTTTTAAATATGGTAGATTTAAAGTAGGCACAAAAGACTTTATACAGAACACCTGTTTTAATGAATGAATTAGATTTTCTTCAGATTCTATTACGTAAGCGAAAATTCTGTAACTTTGCTTTTAGTGCTTGGGCATTCATGATGAAATAGTCACGAATGCTTAAGCAGAAAAATCAAGCTTTGATCTTTAGAAAAGATCTTAGAGACCTTAGGCCTTAGAAAAGAATCTGAATTGTTAATTTGATAATTAGTACATGACACTCCAACTAATGACTTTCATTGATACCTGAACCTACTGAAGAAAGACAAAATACATTTCCTTCACATGTTTGATTAACAAAATACAAGTATTAGAGGTATTAGACGAGGTTTCGTATCTTAAAGTAGTTCAAGACATTTTTAAGCCAATAAACCTTCACAGCAGCTTTAAAAGGTTTTCGAAGCACAGGGATCAAGATAAATTACAATTTATGAATTTATTAAATTTCATAAGAAACGGTGATTAAACTAAAAGCTATTGCCTGTTGTTCCTTGTATAAAGATATTAACACAACTCACTTTTAACATGAACTTTCCGATTCCACATCTTCGAAATCTCTTCCGAACAGTTAAAAGTGATAAATACACAACTCTGGTCCCAGGAATTCTGTAACAAAAGATAAAAGCATTTAACATTGAACAGCATTACATCAGAAATGAAACTCTAAATGGTAATTTCACATGCATTAAAAAATAATGATATTACAAATAATTGAATATTCACATTCTTCAGTCGACATTAAAATTATATATTCTATATTCACAATGGTATATCCCATTGACAAGTATGAAATAAATAAATAAATAATTTTTGCCCTTTGTACTAGAAATCTTACCATGCAACAGAGCGTGCTTTTTACAGATGCATTTTCAAGATCTTGCCTTCTGGACAAAATATTCACAATGGTGAATAACAAGTATGAAATAAATAAATAAATAATTTTTGCTCTTTGTACTGGAAATCTTACCAAGATCTTGCCTTCTGGACAAACTTTTTTTTTTTGGTAATAAATGCTTATCAATTATTATTTCTATAATGCCATGTCATTTCTTCTAAATATATACCAAAAGATAATGAAAACCTAATTCATGATTGTGAATTTACTGCCTGCTTTCTACACAAACACATACCAAAAAGAAAAATGGTAATAGTTCTATCGTACTTTGCTACCATCATCATTCTATTTACAATAGATGTAACCCTCATTCTATTTACAATAGATGTAACACTCAGTCTTAATTACGCCTCAAGCATAGAAAGGAGTATATTCTTCATAGTTCATCCAACTAAAACGTCCAGCTTTTCTCTTTTTTGTTCACTGCCCATGTGGCCGAGCAGTAAGACCGTTAAATACTGCTAGTTTGACTCGAGTTCAAATTCTGGGGAACTGATTGGCTATACAGTCAAAAGTCGTTAATCCGGACTCGTCGGGACTTCGGCGATTCCGGATTATAGATCATCAGTTTAAATCTCGTAAGATGGCATGCAGAAATCTAAAATTAAAATATGAAACCGCAATTTATGAGAAATAAAGAACAATCGTGATCTAAAGGGTATCAAATTTGCAAAAAGAAAAAAGCTTAATATTTATTTGTTTACTTTATTAAACATTTCTTTCAATGTAAGTTGTTTAAGTTTTGCTTCGTTTCATGTGATAATACTTTCTCTTTAATTCTATTAAACAGACATAATTTCTTGTTCAGTTACAAAGTTCCGCTGTTCAAGTCCTATAATTGCTGTGTCAAGAACACCGACTAATCTGAATTGTTAATTTGATAATTAGTACATGACACTCCAACTAATGACTTTCATTGATACCTGAACCTACTGAAGAAAGACAAAATACATTTCCTTCACATGTTTGATTAACAAAATACAAGTATTAGAGGTATTAGACGAGGTTTCGTATCTTAAAGTAGTTCAAGACATTTTTAAGCCAATAATTGTAAATCGAAATTTTTTCGTTTTCAATAACCTCTGTCACTTTTCTTCGTTATCGGAAGCGAATTATAATGACGAGGAACTCGTTTTAAATCATATCAAAGACGGAGCATATCGAGATGAAATACTACATTTGGTAAGGAATTATAAGCCAAATAAAATAAAAACATCTGCGCTGAAGATAAGGATAGTGCTGACAGATCAACTTCCAATTCATTACGTGCCCGCCGTGGCGTTCCCCCCGCCGAGCAGCGTCAAATTGATAAACAGATTTCGGATTTCAAAACATACTTTCGCTTTAGATCCTTTACATATTAACAAATATATATCGGAAATTCTATTTGATATAATCGAAAGTTTAAGCTTACTTTTATAAAATTGCTCTTACAGTCTGCAAAAAATAATAAGCCGGATCCAATTCGAAAATTAAGGAAGAACGCAATCATCAACATTAACTGAAATAGATAATCATCAACATTAGATAATTTTAGCTTATACGTCCATTATACATAAAATGCACACGCAAAAACGTATTCTACACTTGCGCACACTCATATGCGCAGTCGTAAAAGGTCTTACGCGCATGCGTAAGCGCCTATGCGCATGTGTCAACGCGGCGCATGCGCAGAAATTTTTTAGGTTTGAGGTCCGGATTATAGATCATTCCGAATTATGGGTGTCCGAATTAACGACTTTTGACTGTATAGGGGTTAGCATGGCTTATCTTATGTGTCGGTTAGGGAAGAATTCGAAAAAATCGATAGATTAATCTTTGTGCCTTGGAAAAACTACTCATTAATAACAAGGTTGAAGGGATACATCTCCCTTAGGTTCTGTACACTATCGTGCCATGAGGAGAGATTAATTATCCTATGTTGTCCTTTTGCAGAGTCGCATTCCATGGTTATGCTTTACGTTGATCATTTGGGGGCTCTGTCAAAAAGAGAGTGTGCGCAGCTAGACGGTGAGAACCTCAGGGTACTGGCACTCGCTGAAAACAGCTACCGCATTTGCCGCTTTCTTAGCGACATTTCGTCTTTAAAAACATTTTGACCCTTCTAACGTAAACTCTTACTCTGTGCTAGTAATGACTATTACACCTTAAAATCGTAAACTGAGGCGAGTCGTTACGACTTTAATGTACATACTTCAAAGTAACAGACTATTGTAGTTTAAGTCAGGTTCAGAACAAGGCGTTTTAGTAGTTTCTCTATGCGTAGCATGAATACGAACCAGTTTTCATTAGAAACTTCGCCACGATAATATCTCTATCCTCAGGCAGTGTCTGATTAATGGCAAAGCACATATGAGGGCTCTACCACTCTTAATTTGTTAAAATTAAAACTATAAATGAACAGGACCGACAAATAGGTCAAGGAATCGTAGGGTAGTCCTCGGTAATGAAAGCTGGTGACAAAAATTGATTTTAAAGAAAGCTATTTAAAAACTATCATAAAAATCTTAAGGTGTCCTATAAAAATAGATTCTAAAGAAAGCCATTTTTATGCTACTTCGTTTTCACATAAATTATCTGAAATAAAATTAGGCTAAGTAATTATGCCAAAATAGTTTTTAAATAATGAGTAACTTAAACTCCAGTACTTAAATGCAGGAACTGAAGATGGTATTAGAGTAAATTCCACAGAAACTGGCCTTTGATTTGTGTTGCAAAGAATATGATTTAACACTTTACTTCGACACATTACTATTTTTCAGCGAGATTAAAGAAGGTACGTAAAAGCAGGGAAATATTGAAAGGGTTGCTTATCCTGATCATAAATTGCTCAGTTGGCAATTTCAATCAAAGAAATGCACCTGAATGATCCAAGATTCTAGTGTAGAATTGGGATTATTCAATTTATCACCGATTTCAATTCATCTTTCGATTAGCTCCAATTTGTTTTTAAATTTTGGCGATGAAACCTCACTTTGACAGTTTTAACTTTGTTTTAACTTCTTGATTTTATTTAAATGAAAATAGATTGATGTTTACATGGACAAATTTAAGGCGGTGCGCAATGCCTAGTTTGTGCACTTCTAGGATGTTTTTTAAGTGAAAACAGATCGATGTGTACATGGACACAGAGTTTGTGCAATTCTTTGACTTCTTATTTCGGTTTTGTGTAGCGGCCATCTTGAATTGTGCCTTTCTGGCGCCGATCTTGGCGTCAAAAAACAAGGGGCACCCAATTGTAAACTTTTACCCAATCATCTTCACTGTTTTTATTGTTATTTTTCTGTAATGCAACTGCTAGGAATTAAGTGGATTTTTTTTAATTACAAACAATTTCTAAATATGAAACAACAGTAGACTCCCGATTATCCGCACCTGCCGCACAAATTTTTTTTTTTTTTTTTTTTTTTCAGCGTAAAGCAAAGAAAATAAAAATTTTCACAAAACTGAGCAAAACGTTAAATTTGCTAACATCGTGCTTATTTATAGCAAAAATATCCCAGGCCTTCTCGGAACCTTCCCCTCGGCCCCTCTGATGAGTAAGTGATTTCTTACTCACCCTTGCAGTGCCCGCTCCACCGCCCTTTCTCGTCTTAATCTTACTGACACGTTCCACTTCCTTCCCACTCGCCATTGTTAGTTTAAGCCGGATAGTGTTTGTGAACCGGTCGGAGTTAAATTTCTTATCTTTTATTGTGTTCAGTGCTTGTGCTTTTTGGTTTTGTGTTTTTCGTTACGATTTAAAATGTCAGGAAAATGAAAGAAGGTTGTGTTGACGATTGCGCCAAAAACTAGAATTAATTTCCAAAGTAGCAAACAGCGCTACAAGGCAGCAGATGGAATTGGATTACAGAATCGCGGAAACAACAGTGCGTGACATTCTAAAGCAAAAAGACAAACTGGTGAACTTTGCATCAATGTCGGACAGTGCTTCCGCAAATGAAAACGCGAAAAAACTATGAAGGGTTCTACCTTTGATGAGCTAGACACGGCATTGACAGAGTGGTTAGCTCAAGTTCGAAAAGAGGGTACTCCTGTAAATGGTCCTATCATTGCGGCGAAGGCAAAAACCTTTTTTGAGTTGTTAGGCCTGAAAGGAAATTTTGATGCATCTTCTGGCTAGTTGACTCGTTTTAAGCAGCGACATGGAATTCGAGAAATTGGACTTCATGGGGAGAAACTTAGTGGTGACCAACAAGCAGCCGACGATTTCCACCATGAATTTGAAGAATTTGTTTTAAAAGAAGAGCTATCTTTTGAACAAATTTACAATGCCAACGAATCGGGACTTTTGTGGACAAATGTCTTCGGGAACTCGCACTTTAGCATTTGAAAAGTGAAAGTAAAGCGGCGGGTCATAAAAGCAGCAAAGGCAAGGATCACTATGATGTCTTGCAGTAACGCAAGTGTTGGACATAAACGTAGACTTGTTGTCATTGGAAAGTTAAAAAAAAAAAAAAAAAAAAAAACAGAGATCTTTCAACGGCACAAGGATAGAAAATTTGTCCGTTGATTACTTTAACCAAAAAAAAAGGGATGGATGAACCGAAACATTTTTCAAGAATGGTTCGAAAAAATCTTTGTTCTTCAAGTGCGTAAACATCTTAAATCGAAAAACCTGCCTGAAAAAGCTGTGCTATTGATCGACAACGCACCTTCTCACCCAGCAAAAAGCGTGCTAAAGTCTTCTGATGGACAAATTTTTGCAAAGTTTCTCCCCCCAAACATTACTGCGCTAATCCAACCCATGGACCAAGGAGTCATTGCAACAATGAAGAGAACATACCAGAACCAAGCTGCTAATGACCAAAATTGAAGAAGGTTATGATCTGAAAGAGTTTTGGAAAACACTACACAATCTTGGACAGCATCTAGGATATTGCATCTGCATGGGACTCAATGAAACCGTCAACCCTCATAAAATCATGGAGAAAACTCATGCCTAATGTTGAACCTAACCTCTTTGAGTTGTGAAGAAGAGAATGAAGATGTAGACACGCCCACGGCAACTCTTGCCGATATGGTGAAAACAGTTCCAAGTGGTGAGAACATCGATGCTGAAAACATTAGCGAGTGGTTGGAGTGTGACGTCAACGAACCTGGCTTCGAACGCTTGACAGATAACGAAATTGTGAAGAAAGCAAGGGAAGAGACCGAGAATGAAGAGCAGCGAAGTGAAGGCGAAGAAGAGCCCACTGTGCAGATGCGGGAAGACTCACGAAGCGGCTTTGCAACAATGCTGAGCTATTTGGAAGAACAAGACGACGCGGAATTGTCCGAGTAACTTATGCTACGAAAAATGCAATCTCGGATCAAGAGAAAATGCTTTCAAAGCAAGAAGAAAACACAAATGACTGATTTCTTCAAAAAGGTGTAGTTTTACAGTTATGATTTTGTAATTACATAATACATTACAGTATTAAAACAGTACATATGTATTAATTTTTCTGTGTATCTTTGACGCCTCTCGTAAGTACAAAGCACTTTTCTGTTTTCATTAACAAATTGCATTTTAGGTTAGTTTTGAGTGGTATACTAAAATATTAAGCTTTGGTTAAACATTTCCTGCTGTTTATTTTACGTTTTATTATACATAAAACGATTTTTCAAAGTTGGAATGACTATTTTCTCTTTTGCTATAGCCATTTTTAGCTTTTTTCGGATTATCCGCAATTTTTGTTTTCCGCGGCAGCCGCGACACCCAATTCCGCGGATAATCGGGAGTGTACTGTAGTTTATATATGGCAAAAACACAGACACACGCACAGGCCAAAAGATCATCGCTTGCGATGCTTGCGCCAAAAAGCATGGCAAATGCATGAAAAAGTACCTTTTAATTTTCAATAGAAAGCAGTATTCACGAGCAGTATTTACAATTCAGTATACGTGAGCTGCGTTTTTATAGTGCGCTTTGACTTCATTTAAAGTTTGCCATTTTTTTCCATCTTTTAAGGATTTGATTTAGGGACTCGACTTCTTTTGAAGTAAGATGCTTTTAATTTTGCACTTAGTTAAATATTTTGAACAAGAATTGATTTTCATTTTATTGCTATGTACATCAATCTGGATGTTTCATTTACATACCTCACAGTTTTCTCAAGAATTTACTGAATCTTTAAGCAAATATTTTCGCTTACTGATAATACTGTTGGTTTCCCCTTTGTGATGAGAAAATCTATATTAAGGATTAAGATAATAAATGACTGATTCCATAATTTTCATGCACTTGCAAATATTTAAAAAATAAACTCTTAAAATCACTCCAAAGATGAAAGCTTATTTTCCATTGTAGCAGTAAAGCTACAGTGAAATGCAGCAGTAAAGTATCTTAAAAAATCTAAGGCTGAAAGAAATAAAGAAAGATTAGAAAATTGTGAAGAATTACAAAAAATAATTATGAAGATGAAATTTTTCTTTTAAATCAGTGCAATTTTGAAAGCATAAAGTTATGTTTTTCCATTGTTTTCATTAAAGGCATTAACAATACAATCTCAGAAAATGTCAAACAAAGATGCGTTTACTTTTAAGAGACCTTCCGAGAGAGATGAAGTACTTGTCTTTATGATAGACAAAGAGGTATAAATATTCTTCAAGCGTTTTTGTGATTTATTCAAAATGCATCAGCGGAAATACCGTGATCATTGCCAAATTATTGTTAATAAAATAAATGCATCTAAGAATATTTTTCACTTGCCTGTAATTTTTATTGAAAGTTGCTGCCGCAATGAGACGGTGCTCTATGCCAACATGAGTGGACTGGAGGGAGTATCTCTCCAGTGCAACTCGTCTCTCCTTTTTCCTTGCTACGACTGCTCTGAGGAAAGCATCTAAGCCACGAGAGAAATCTTCGTGGTCATCTTCCTCTTCCATGTCACTATAAAATATAAGAATAACTTATTTAATTTAGAAGTCAAATAACAAAAATCACGTGATTTGCAAATTTTCACCGGACTAGTTTTAATGGTTTTACCGAACCATCAGTCTCAGCTGCCAATTGTCAAATGAACGAGATAAGATATAGTGATAAGATAAGAATGGGTAGACAGGAGTTAAGCTACTGGCGCCATCTATTGGTGAAACAAGAAAGCTAAAAAATAATTTCCTTAAATGCTGAAGGTAAAGATGGATTGGAATTAGGGTCGTTAACTAGAACAGAAAAGTTATTTTGAATGTGAAACGCCTCTAGAGAATCTAATTCACCAATGGAAGCTGTTTTTTTGAATAATTTTGGCTGTAGAAAAGTTGAAAGTGTAATTTTCAGACCAACAAATGCTGGGCAACAGAGGACTTCTGTATTTCCCTTTTCCTAACATATGTCTCATTTTACTTACCGCGAAAGTTTAATTTGACCAATTTAAATTAAATTACACTGGCAAGGGATCCTGTAAATACCCCAGAAATTCATATCCGAAATGGGGTCCTTAAGTATGGAAATTTTTTTGATGGGAGAATAAACAACCCGAAAGTTAAATTTCTGTAAAATGCGTGTAATTTTATAGCTAATTGATGGAAAGAAAGGAATGATAACATAATTCTGATAATCTCCTAAAACAAGAGTGCACCTTTTAATGTGTTAATATTTATTTGGAGTGTTATTTTACCTTAATTATAAGAATAACTGTTTGGTAATCAGTTAGAGATAATTATATTATCCCTCTTGAATTATTGGTACTTACGTATTTTCTCGTCAACCATTTTTGACGAACAAAAACTTAAAGCTAAATAAGTAATATAATGCCAAGGCATGATGTCACAATACTCATGAGAATTTTGCCTGGAATTTATAAAACCTTGATTAATCCTAAATCAGCTAGTTTATCTGTTGATTTTCTAAGTAAATACAGAGCAATGTATTTTTCCCAAACTTCCACTGGAATGATTGATCAAGTTTTAGCTATGCTATATTCGCAACTAGTATCTTTTTCTTATCCTACTAAACAAAAAGCAATTTCTTCTTTCAAATTCTCGTCAGAATGATCGGTACAAGACCTCCTCAAACTTTCATGATCGGCCTAAAAATATGTAGGTACGGAATTATTAATTTAGAAATACAACAAAAGAAAATGGAGATGCATTAGATCCCAAATGTAGTGTTTCTGGTAAAAATTTCCTCGAAGGAAACATATTGTCGTTTGCGAAAACCACGTAGGCTGAGTTCATCTAGATTATTAAAATCTCTGCGCATCTGTATGCTTGCTTTTTTGCAACATCATCTCCTCGAAAACAGCGGTGAGTTGAGTTTCGACAGACGTACTCCCGATTCAACTCGTGGGAAGACATTTTGAACGTTGTCATCTCCGTGCGACTTTAATCAACCAAGATATTAAGTAAAAATTCTGAAAACGCTAATTTTCGCGCCCTGCAATTTGTTTTTTCGCTGTTCGGTGTGTTGAATGGGAGCGCATACGAGGTGGAATTTTAAAATAGTCATCCATCGTTTCTAAACAGGAGTAAAATTTTTTATGGAATCTCGCAGCCTGTTTATTTCTCTCACGTTTTCTATGTTTTTGACAGTGATGTTTTTATGAAAATTTTTTCCCACTCACATCTATTTTAATATAGATGATTAGAAAGCCCGCCGGTTATACGAAATGACCGCTGTTCTTGATATTATAAACTGTAATTAAAATGATTTATGCAAAGGTGTCTGGAACTTCAAATTGAATTACCCAGGGCAGGCGGCGAGGACGCCCCTTTACTTACTGCCCCACGGGGTTTTCCCCTTTTACTTGCTTAATTGCTTAAAGTAGAGTGCAATGAAGGAACCCACTGGCGGTACATTTGTTAAGAGCCATCGCTAGCTCAAAGGTGATTTAAAATAATAAAATGTTAATTCACATGTCAAAGTCTCTTTGTACACAACATTTCTTGTATAGATGTTTCCATCATTTTTAAACTCGCCTTGCAGAGGACCATCCATAATTTTTAATTTTACGTCCGATTATTCACGAACTCTTGAACAGGCAACATAAAGTTGACCGTGTCCAAATGCAGGCTCTAAGCCGCATATACACTCACGTTTGTGAAAATTGCAACACCATGAAGGACTTACGCGAGTGAGCTGAAATTTTCAGGAAATGCAAAGTAGCGCATGATATGCAAATGATTAGAATTGCAAATCCGTAGCGCATGCGTATGCTGAGCAGCGCCCTCTGAACGGCTGATGGATCCGAATAAATAGACGGCTGTAGCGAGGCGTGTATGGTTATCGGTGGTTATCTGCTAGTGGTAAACGTTAACTCAATCTGTACTTATGCCTCGTCGACGAAAGAGAGCGAGATTTGAACAACTTACAGAGTTTGAACGAGGGGAGAATCATCGGCCTTCGTGAAGCTGGATTGTCGTATCGTGCAGTAGCCTCTCGTGTGCAGCGTAACAGCAGCACAGTGATGCGCGTTGGAAGCAGTGGACGGACGAGTGTCGGACAACTCGGAAATCCGGGAGTGGACCCCGAAATGTGACGTCAGCTCGCGATGATAGACACCTGGTCCGCATGGAGCGGACGGACCGTACAGCTTCCTCTAGACAATTGGCAGCACTGTGGTCAATAGCTACAGTGTTTTCATTGTGTGCTTCATCAATTCGTAGACGTCTGCTGCAGTGTGGACTGCGCGCACGGACTCCTTTATACAGGATCCCCCTAACGCACGACCATCGCCGCCTGCGGCTACAATGGGCCAATCAGCATAGAGACTGGCGTGCTGATTGGCAGCATGTCGTGTTTTCTGACGAATCCCGCTTTAATTTGTGGTACCACGATGGCCGCATTCGTGTCAGACGCTATGCCGGTGAACGCCACCTTCCGGAGTGCATTATCGAACGCCACAGTGGACGAACACCCGGAGTTATGGTCTGGGGCGCCATAGCATATCATAGACGATCTCAATTGCCACGAATTGTGGGCAATCTGAACAGCAACCGGTATATCCATGAAGTTCTACAGCCCGAAGCTATTCCCTTCCTTCAAAGCTTGCCAGGCGCTGTATTTCAACAGGACAATGCCCGCCCTCATACTGCTCGGATTGTTAAATCCTTCTTTGCAGCGCAGCAGGTACAGCTTCTTCCTTGGCCTGCGTGTTCCCCGGATATGTCGCCAATTGAACATGTGGGGGATGTCATTGGTCGGCGTCTTGCTCGTGATCCTCGTCCTGTTGCGTCTGCAGACGAACTTTGGGTACGCGTACAAACGATATGGAATGCTCTTCCTCAGTCAGACATTCAAACTTTGTTTGACTCCATGCCACGTCGTGTAGCAGCACTTATTGCGGCGCGTGGTGGCCACACAAAATACTGATTCTGATCTCTTGTTCTTGTTTGTTTGCTTTGAACATTTAATCATTTATTTGTACCACTACCACTCAACTGTGTATTAAATTGCATTCAATTATGACGATTCCTTCTTGGTGTTGCAATTTTCACAAACGTGAGTGTATATATGGGGAGGAGTAACATCTACTCCTCCGAAACGGCTAGTTCCCGGGCTTAGCGAAGCACACCGTTGGATTCCGCAGGTCCGTGGCACGCCATTTTGACCATTCGCGTCTCCTTGGGACTTTGATTAGCCGAGATATTAATTGAAAACTAGTTTTCCCTACATTTTCCACTTTCTTTCTTGGGTTTTCCCTATTAGAGGGATTTGGCTATGCGTCAAATTCTTTTTTCTCGAATATCTACGGAACGACGCCGAGTTGAAATTCGAGACGCGTATCCTCGGATTCCAAAAAATTCTCCGAATCCATCGATACCGTTCTCATCTTCGTACGATTTTAATCGGCCGAGATATTAATTAAAAACTGCGGAAATGTTAATTTGCGCGCTCATTTTCCGAGGGGCAACAATAAACTATCGGCGACACACACTTTAGCCGCTTAAATATATAAAAAGATAATCGAAATGAGCAGATCCGGATTATCATCTATGCTATCAGAAGCATTGTGGCCATTGCATAATGGGAGCAAAATTCATTAATATGTTAATTTATAAGCAAAATTTATTAGTAGAACTTATAAATTTTGCTTAGTTCCTGCCCGCTAGTATACTTTTACTCAATGAAGGAGAAGATTAAATTTAAATTAAAACGACTAGTTAATTTTAGTTATGTATTGCACTTGATTATTACGTCAGAATTGCATTGATGAAGCGTTGCGTAATGTCAAATTGCACAAGGTCCGTTTAAGAGACATTCTGCCAATGTCGTCTTATGCTTCACCGTTCCTTTTCATTATTTTACTAAAAACCTAAGATCGCTAAAGAGCAGATGGTTTCTCAATTAATAAACATTCTGTGAAAATGAAATGGTATGACCCACATCTATTTCAAAATTTGTTAAATTAAGAAGTCAACTTTTAAAATGCAAATTAAAAGAAAGAAGAAGAAATCTGTAATAATTAAAAAATTAAGAAGATTATAATTTAAGAAATTTATAGCAGTTGTAAATTTAAATTTGTAAGAATACTGCAAAATATATATATAAAAAAATTACATTACATTCACTAATAAATTAAAGATTACAAAAGGTTTTTCATATGACAAAAATGTCGGTACAGTCAATAAATTTACAAATAACATTTTAACGAACGATGTTATTAACTTGTAATTTAAGATAGACATAAAGCATTTGGATGACGACGGTACAATTGGGCGTTCACCCTTCGTTTCAGAGAAAATATTGCAATCAGGCTAATTTCTAAGGGAGATTTCAACTTCAAGGCCTCCAGACGTGACAATGTGATATTATTTTCTTATAAAACTATTTTACAACGGTATTCAATTTCTATTATTTAGCTCTTTGCACTCGACAGTCACCACCTGATTTGATGGGGAAACTCGAGAGGTAATAATCGGTCACCACTTGATTTGATGCGGTAATTCGAG